AGGCAGTCATGATTTCACTCTTTAAGGACACACTAAACAGATCTGTTACACGTGTGTCTGGAGGGGTTGCTGGCCTTCCCTCACGCAGCACTGACTGAAGACAACTGCCCTGATGTCTTGAAGACCATGCTTTAAACCACGGCTTTAGACAGAATAACCCCTTCCCCTGCCCCACCCCCACCCCCTTTTTAAAGAACAGCCCAACTCTATTATGTCACTAGTGTCTGGTGACCAGAATAAATACCCTTGTAACTGATTTCCTGTGTTACATTTAGAGTTATATCAACCATCTCTGCAAGCACAGAGAACACGGTTTGCTACATAACTCACTCTACAGGGTACTGCTTCATAATTCGACTTGTTTACATGATCACTTTTATTTATGTCTCTCATTCAGTTTTTATTTTAAAGTACTACTTTTTTTTTTTTTTTTTTTTGAGACAGTCTTGCTCTGTAGCCCAGGCTGGAGTGCAGAGGCGCAATCTCAGTTCACTGCAAGCTCCACCTCCAGGGTTCACACCATTCTCCTGCCTCAGCCTCCTGAGTAGGGGGGACTACAGGCATCCACCACCACGCCCAGCTAATTTTTTTTTTGTATTTTTAGTAAAGACGGGGTTTCACCGTGGTCTCAATCTCCCGACCTTGTGATCTGCCCGCCTCGGCCTCCCAAAGTGCTGGGATTACAGGCGTGAGCCACCACGTCTGGCCAAGTAATACATTTTTAAAGAAAATAAACTCATAGATTTGTCCAATCTAATTTGATTCAAAAACAACTTATTCGCCTCCCTTTACCCAGAAAGTGTAGACTGGTATTAGAAAATTAGGGAAAAAAGCATTCTGGAAGTTAAGAAAACACTAAATCTATTCATGTATCACAAGTAACCCCCTCTGGCCAATCAAGTGTGAGCATATCTCACTACAGTAATACTTTCAGCAAGGACACTTCTTTCTTCCAATAATCCTACAAACAGAAGATTATTTTCTTTTATAGTCAATGCGTCCCAATTTAAAAATATGAATCTTTGTAAACTTGGAGAAAACAAGACCACTGTGTTAAGATACTGTCACTGTCTAATCCTGCTACTTTCCTATGTCAATCTTTCATGTCATGTAATATTTAAGAAACTTACAAAAAAAAAAGAATTAAAGTAAAAACCGTTTGGGGAAATGCTTCCTGACCTCCTCAAATATGTAAGATAAATCAGCTAGCAATATCTAGATAAACGAACATGTGGTTTTAAAATTTTTTTTTAGCTGGGTGTGGTGACTCACACCTGTAATCAAACCACTTTGGGAGGCTGAGGCAGGAGGATCGCTTCAGCCCAGGAGTTCGAGATGAGCTTAGCAACACAGGGAGATCCCATCTCGACAAAAAAAAAAAAAAAAAAAAAAAAAAACAGCCGGGTGTGGTGGTCCTGTGGTACCAGCTACTCGGGTGGCTGAGGCAGGAGGATCCCTTCAGCCTAGGAGGTTGAGATTGCAGTGAGCCATGATTACACCACTGCACTCCAGCCCGGGTGACAGAGGGAGCCCCTGTCTCAAAAGAAAAATAAAAGGCAGATAAAATTATTTTTCAATGTTTCCATCTCTATCAGGTTAATAATAAAAGAGAAAACATATGATAAAAAGCTACCGCACACCACCAAAGTCAGTAACAGAGTAGTGACCCATGTCTCCAAGAGTGCATGTTGGTAGGGCCATGGGGGGCTACAAGAAACCTCACATAAATGGAGAATAAAGAATAAAGGAATAGGTGGGAAGAGATTCCATAACCCTACAGCCCCCAACTCTAGTAGAAACATTTGTACCAAAAAGTTTACCACCCCCCACAAATCCTAAGGCTAATGTAACATCCAGACAGACCATAAACTCTACGGATATTCCCTGTACATACTCCCCATCCCCAGAACACTAATGAACCACTCCCCTTGGGGGGCCTTTTCCCTTTCAAGTCTGTCTTGGATTCTTGGGGGTGAAGTTAGAGAGGTAAGAGCAAAAATGAAGGGGAGGGGAGAAGGTAAGTAGGAAGATGACAAAAAAAAAAAAAGTTAAAAATATAACCGGTTTCCAGAACCTTTCCCATCCCCAATATTACCATGCAGAGTTCCTAATGAGTCAAGGTTTATTACATATCTCAAATCAAAGATGGAAGTTTTGACTTTTTAAATTAAAAAACAAACATCGTAGGATGAGAAAGAAGTATACACTTACTCTATAGCTCTTCTATCTGTGCAAGATGATTATGAAAAGAACTGAAAAACAATTAGCAAGACTTTCACATCCATTAATAATAGCTCAAACTGTAAATGGTTTAATTCACCTTGCTACTGAATTACTGACATTTACTAGCTGTTATGCTGAATGCCTATATATATGACAGGCCTATATATACTTTTTTTTTTTTTTTGAGACAGGGTCTCACTTTATTGCCCAGGCTGGAGTATACTGGTGTGATCATGGCTCACTGCAGCCTCAACCTCCTGGACTCAAGCAATCCTCTCACCTCAGCCTCCTGAGTAGCTAGGACTACAGGTATATGGCACCAAACCCAGCTAATTTAGTTTTTTTAATTTTTATTTTTTTGTAGACATGTGGTCTATGTTGTTCAGGTTTATACACACTTTTTATGTATAGGCACTTTTATGTAAATTATCTCCAAATCACTCCATGATGTGGATATTGTTACCTTTAAGGTCATGTACATAGTGAACGGCCAACTGAAACCCAGATTATCAGAATCTACCAACAGCACGCTTCCCATTATGGCATAATGTCTCAACTGAAAATACTATACAGTTTTAAATATCAAAACAATTCTTGGTTGGAATTTTTTTCCCTCTTTTAACATCTTCAAATATTCTCAAGTTGAAGAAGCTTCTAACAACAACGCCAAAAAAGGAATACCATCTGTCAGAGAGGCCTGTCCAAAGACAAAATTCCACGAGTCTCTTGGGTAAAGATCAATCATTGTTATGCCCACAATACAGAAGGCATCTTCAGGTTTCTTCTTTTTCAAGAACTTCAGGATGTCCCCTATTTAAAAAGAAATACATAAATGTATGAGTGTATATTATATACATATGCTTCCTTTACTCGGTTTAAATTGCAAAGTTGTGCAATTCACCTGCATGAATTTGTAGGTTTTGTGTGTTCTCATTGACTCTAAAGGAACACCTTGTTGCAGAAACAGGAACTGGTTCTAGGAGTTTTACTCTCAAGCCATAGAAATATGCTTTACAGTAGCCCGTGAGCCATTTAATATATTCTTCACTGATAATTCTGGTGTTTCCTAGAGAGCCTATAATATGGAAGAACATTTAAAAACAGACTTTAAGATGATTATTCAGTGTTTACCCAGTCTATGAGTAAGAGGATTCAAATTAGAAACAAAACCAACTTTAAATTTTCAATACACCTTTATCATTCATTGGTGTTGCTATGAATTAAAAACAAATAAAATGTTATCTTTTAAGTCAGTTTGGCTACAAAACTTGTACCATTGCAATGATATCAAAAATGATCCTAAAACGGCCCATCTGAATCAGACCAATAGCCCGGACTATTCCTGACAACAGCGCCATCGCAAAACCGAACCAAAACCAGCACATTACCAGTATTTACCAATGGACTGTATATAAATGCTGCGTTTGTCTGGAGAGGGTGTCTTTCTGTAAGGATCACTGAAGAACTGTTCAAAGTCTTGGGGGGCCTCAGGGTGGGAGGTGATCCAATCTGATGGAGAATGCAAGGTAATGGGTCCAAAGAGATCACTGGCTGGCTGGAAGGCTTCATTCATTAAACGCTGTTCCCCAGCATCTAATTTCTCATACTGTGACACAAGCACTGGGTTCTTTGAGATGAGAGCTGTTTTTAGGGTCTGTTCAGAGTGTCGTATTATTTGCATCTAACAAAAAAACACAAGTAGTCAAATATAAAAATGCATATCCATATTGGGGACTTTACCTATCCTCCATATACAGCTCTGATTTCTCCCTAGAGTGAAATGACTGACTGATAATGCTTTAGAGTGGTCACATTTAAGAGTGGTTTCCTCATGTCCAATCAATTTCTTGGGGAGCTAAGAAATTAAAAAGACAATCATGAAATCCATTCCTCTATCTCATAAGGAACCTGCTCCCATTACAAAAACTAGTGGTGGCCAGGTGTGGTGGCTCATGCCTGTAACTTCAGCACTTTGGGATAGGAGGATTGCTTGAGGCCAGGAGTTTGAGAACAGCTCGGGTAACATAGTAAGACCCTATCTCTACAAAAAGTTTAAAAATTCCCTGGGCATAGTGGTGCACACCTGTGGTCCTAACTACCAGGGAGGCTGAGGTGGCAGTGAGCCATGATTGTGCCACTGCACTCCAGCCTGGGCAAGAGCCCAAAACAAACAAACAAAAAAACCTCATGGTGACCATAGGAGCAGGACCTCACACCCTATTTCCTTCTTTTGGGGAATAATAATATTGGCCTGGCATGGTGGCTCACGCTTATAATCCCAGCACTCTGAGAGGCCAAGGCAGAAGGACTGCTTGAGCCTAGGAGTCTGAAATCAGCCTGGACATCATGGCAAAACCCCACATCTACAAAAAAACTAGCCGGGCGTGGTGGTGTGCACTTGTAGTCCCAGCTACTTGCGAGGTAAGGTGGGAGGATCATCTGAGCCCAGGAGGTTGAGGCTGCAGTGAGCCGTGATTGTGCCACTGCACTCCAGCCTGGGCAATAGAGACTCAAAAAATAATATTATGAATTAACTCATTAGTGCCACATGAAAAATACTCACCGTTTCTAATGTGACTCAAAGATCTTCAACATCAAATAAAAACAAAACTAATGTAAGCCCTATCAATTCTGCAATTTAACTGTAGGCTGAGAAACTACAGCTTAGCCACTGAAGTTTACGGCCTCAAAGTCACATCACATTAGGGAAGACATCAGATGACTAATCAAAAGCCAGACTCACAATGACA